ATTTTAATGATTTTGTATTCAATTTTTTTGTTCACATAACATATTTCCTTAAACTCTACACTGCACATTGTATTACTAAATAATATAAATATTTTTTATCTAAAGAGCTTAACTCGATATTAAAAAGTTTTGAATTTTTTGCTTTCTGTTTTGATTTTTTTTTTTTAATATTTAATATTTTGATTACTGATTTTATATTTACATAAATATGCTTTTAGGACATAATTAGCTAAGGATTTTTGCAAGTCTTAAATCAAATTATTTTTAATTAGTTTTTTATATTTCTAAGCCCATAAATATATACAGTAAACATTTACAAAATCTAAGCTTTTCAAAAGTGTAAATTATATAAAAAAAAAAAAAAAAAAATCAAAAAGATACTTAATTTTTGAAAAGATTCTTAAACTAGAAAAATTCCAAATAGTTTTCAACGAAATGTTTAAGAAATTTGCTTAAAATATTAAAACGGTACTATTTTTCTGCTCAGTTTACTTTTGAATTTTTCTATAACCATATTTTAAAATAAAAGCACAGACATCACACACACGCTGACATTTGTAATGATTTTCCACCATTTTTGCTTTGTTAGTTTGCTATATCCTCACGCTCTCAAATTCTATACCGACATTCGAGTATATTTCATTACATATATATATGTATGTATATACTTATGTTCATATAACCAACTTCGCTTGCAAGTGTATTCAGATTTCATTGCGTAATCGTCTACTTCATGCCATTTCGTTATTACTATACGACTTTCTATGCTTACATTTATCGCGCACACGCACACCACCAAACAATACAATTACCCCACATTCACACCCTTAAACGCAAGCACCCAAACGCGCAAGTACCCGTGAACTCATGACCAACTAACATTATGCCCGCTTACATCATGCCTTATTAGATGTTTTATTCAACTTAAATGCCTAGCCATATAAATACCTACAGTATGTATGTATGTGTGTACTCGTGTATACTCATGTGTGTTTTTTGTTAGTAAATACGCGTTATTTATGTGCAGCAGCGTCGAAATGTTTTCGTGCACCAAAATGCCGCGTCGCTCCTCAACTGCTGTGTGTTCCTCGCTGTTGTTGCTGCTCGTCAGCGTAATTATGCCAGGTTAACATGCACATATGTTTGTATTATTCGGTAAGCCATAGCTACAACGGCCGTAATGCCATGCAAATGCGTTTGATATGATTTAGTCGATCCGCCCACATGACCGTGATACATCGCTGCTGGATTATCACCTGTTGATACAAAACATAACATAAAGCGGTATTAAAATCCGAATTTTGTTTAGTAACACAGCAAAGCAGATTAGTTGTCGCTAAATGTAAGAGTGGCTGGCAAATGAGTAGTATTACAACTAGATTATATGTTTTTTGTTTGTTTGTGGGAAATTTTGGGAGAGCTTATTTTGTATTTTGAAATAATTACGTTGATTACAGCTATAGGTAGTTATTTGGAATATTTGGCGGATACACATATATACAGAATGGATATTTTGATTATTGTAAAGATGCATAACTTCCATGAAAGGCTTAAGCATTAAACAGAAACTGATTTAAATACTAATGCATAACAATTGCTACTATATTTCATATTGGTTATAGAATGATTAAGCGCTGGAATTGGTATTATTTTATTACGAGGCAGCACATGACTTCTCCACTTCCTTCATATACTTTTTAAACAGTAATGAAATATCTTTCTTTCACCCCTTATCAATGCAACTACGAGTACAAA